CCCCCCCCCCTGACACTGACACACTCTTTAAAGAGTCCAAGCATCTGGTCTATGTTGGTGAATGGGTCCTATGACTTAGGTATCACTGTTATTGCCATTTTACAGATGTGGAAACAGAGGCACAGAGAGGTTAAGGGAGTCGCCCAGGTCACACAGTTAGAAGTATGCGAGCCTGGATTTGCACCCAAGCAGTATGGTTCAAGAGACTGTACATCACCACTATCCTGTGCTGCCTTGGTGTTAATCTGTCGAAATACATTCTAAAAATATGGCAGATGTATGAAAACATTCAAATACTTCAAAATTTGTTTTCTTAATTTTTGTTTATCTTTTGTATGTGCATGTGTGTGTTAACAAGTGAACAGATACATGTGTATACATAGATACAGATCTATATTTTCTTACTTTCTTTTCTTTCTATATAAGGGTGGAATATTATAGATACTCTTTTGCAACTTGCTTTTTTGATTTAAAAATGTACCCTGGGAATCACTCCTTATCTGTTCATAGAGTGCTTCCCCATTCATTTTATAGCTGCCTCGTGCTCTACTGTGTGAATGAACCATACATGATTTATCCAACAAACACTCTCTCCTATGTATGGCCATTTAAGTTATTTCCAATATTTTAAAATTACAAACAATGTTGCAGTAAATATCCTTGTGCAAATGTACTTTTAGTGTTTTCAACGTTGATTCCTAGAAGTAGGATTGCTGGGTCAAAATGTAAATGCATATGTACTCTTGCTGGATATTGTCAAGTTTCCTTCCGTGGAGTCTGTGCCAATTTATATTTACACCAGCTATGAGTAAATTCTATCAGCGTTTGCTCACAGCCTCACCAACAGAACATATTACCGAGCTTTAAAGTTTGCCAGATAGTTGAAAAATGATGTATTTTGTAACTCTGTGTAAAAAATGACCCTGGAAGGATAAACTAGAAACTAATGAGATTTGTTAGTGGGAATGGGGTAGAAAAGATAACAGCAGGGAGCAGAGTGGAAGAGATGGGGGTGGGTCTTCTCTGAGTATACCTTCTCTTGCATACACTTCTTATATACTTCTATAGGGTTTTAACTTTAGAACCATGTGACCTACCCACAGTGAAGGAGGTATTAACATACCCACATAACTTTTGAACATAGTATTATGTCTATACTAGAGTTCCTGTGAACGAATTCATGGACATTGAAAGGAAATTAATTAGAAGAAATATTTTAATATCACTATTTGCCCTTTCTCTATAATAGCAGTGTCCACCAAATTCACGATTGACAATGACAGATTGAAACACACGTGTGCGATTGGCACCAGCGAGTGCTTTACATATATAGATAAACTTGCTTAATTAGACCTGCTTTCTGATTTAGCTAAACTTTTTCCAGCCCAGTGAAGCACCCCAACTTCTCTTTCAGGTAATTGTTAGCAACACAGCAGGAAATATCTACAGAAAATAGATTATTATTGTAGATTATTCTGGGAGAACAAAGGGTAAAACATTTAACTGCAGCAGTGTTTGACTATATTCTGCGCACTGACAAAACCTGAAGTCATTTTCAAGGTCCACCATTTTTTACTTCTTTTTATTCAGGTCAAGTTTCTAAGCTTTCTAAATCTCTGTTTCCTGGCTCCAGAAAAGAAAATAAGCTTC